TTCTTTGCCATTTGCAGCTTCGAGAATCGTACAATGTGGCGAGAGACTGTTTCCTTCATCAGCGAAGTTCGGGAAGGCTGAATGTGGAGGAGGCTTACAGTGATCTAATATACTACGCAATCATCAGCACCGTCCAAAGCGAAAAGGAGGAAGGAAGACTCACTCGTCGCATATCCGCATTATCATCCACTGGACCCCACCACCACCATCAACCACCTTCAGAAAGAACGAAAGAAAGAAAGAAAGAACATACCAAGAAGAATAACATCCATCTTCGAAAAGAAAAGCATACTCCGATCCAACCGACTCCCTTCACTACTCTCCCTCTCCTCACTCCCCCCTCCTCCACTCCCTCCACTCCCTCCTCCACTCCCTCCACTGCCCCCTCCACTCCCCGCAGACCCCTCACTACTCCCCACCCCAAACTCGCTCGGAGTCCCCAACGTCCCCTCCGCACCCGGCGTCCCCATGCCCCGTCCAACAATCCACGAACTCGCCTCCTCAATAATCCCCAGCGCATATTTCCGCTGTGTAAGTACCTCCGACGCCGAGGCGGATTCTTCGATGAATTCGGCTGAGAGGTGATCTTTCCCGAGAGGAAGTGTGACGGTGAATGTGCTTCCGTGGGAGCCGTCGGGTGATTCGGAGGCGGTGTTGGATTCGATTGACATTGTTCCGTTGTGTAGTTTTATTAGTTCCTTTATCACTATGTCAGTTGCGAGTCTTCATGGGGAGGAGGGACGTACGCGGGTTAATGAAAGGCCAATTCCAGTCCCTTCATGACTCCTAGATATACTCTACGCCCATCAGCTTCATCCCTTAAGCTTCCTATAATAGAGAAGAACATACAGAAACCCGATGAAACCTCTCCCCAATCTTATGTATATCACTCAACGGAATTCCAACGCCTGTATCAGCGACGCTGAATATAACATGATCCTTGGAATACCGAATGCGGACTTCAATTCGGCCCTTTAGTGTGTCTGCAACCAATTAGTTTGATGTGATACGGTGGATGGATGAACGGACATTTGAACGCGTTGCCGATGAGATTGAAGCAGATCTTCTCCCAAAGACTATGAATCGATCAGTTCTTGTCCTGTCGCTGAGAAGAGACAGGGAAACGTACTCTGGATCGACGTAACACACCCGATCTTCCTCATCACACTCTACAATGAACTACACCATCAATCAGCCTCAAATCCCACAATCCCGCCCAAACGACAACCCACCTCAATACTACTCCTCTCCACAACACTCCTAAACAAACTCGCCAAATCCACCGTAAATCCCCCAATATACACAGGCCTAAAACACCCCCTCATCTTCCCTCCTTCAATCTTCGAAAAGTCAAGTAACGAGTCAACAAGTCGAGTTAAACGAGTAACGTTTCGCGTAGCGAGAGTTGCTCGTGCGTGGATCTTTGAGAGGGCTTTGGAGAAGCGAGGTTCGGTACGAGATTCGGCTCCGGAGCGGGATTCGTTAGGGATATCGAGATTGGAGGAGGGCTCGGATGAGTGGGAGGAGGAGGAGGAGAGGGAGAGGATTTCTTCGAGGGGCCCGCTGATCAGCGTTAATGGTGTTCGAAGTTCATGCGATGCATTTGAGAAGAACGCCGATTTCGCAGCATCAAGCGATTGTAACTGTCTACACCCCCCGCATAAGTCAGTCCAAGTCTGCAGCTAGAGGAGAAGGAGGGGAACGTACTCGGCTCTGCGAATCTCAGACTCGCGATGAACGACAGTACCCAACGCAGTACCAAGATTAACTCTAACAAGATCTATCCAATCTCTATAATCAGCGTCGTATGGCCTTCGGGAGTTCAATCCTATAATTAGGAGAGCGCGAGGGGGCTTGGGGGGTTTCGACCGCGCATTCACAGTCCGTTGAGACGAATTCGAAGGATTCGAGGGGTTGGAGGGGTTGGAAGGATTAGATTGACGAGATTGAGATTGACTGTGAAGTCTCCCAAATTGTCTCCCCCCATGTAAATTCCCATACCCATATTCACCTCCTTCCGCCTCCCCTCCCTCCGCCTCCTCCCCTTCGCCCTCCCCCTCACCAACCCCGGAATGAGGATGATCATGATGATCCGAATCCGAATCAACAGAGATAGGAATGACGACTGCGTCCCTCACTACCTCTCCCCATCCTTTATTCCTCCAGTCGAAACTCTCTGCTACGTATGAGGGGATTGGGATTGGGGATTGCGCGGATGTGGATTGGGATGCTGATGCGGAGGAGGAGGAAGAGGTGAGGGAGGGAATTAGAGGCCATTCGAAAGATTCGTTCTGGTTGTCTTTGGTTGATGGAGGGGTCGAAGCGGATGCAGAGGCAGATGCGGAGGCGGAGGCGGAAGTAGAGGTAGAGGTGGAAGAAGAGGGAGGAGAGGCGGTGGAGGTGGAGAAGTTGGGAGACGTAGAAACGCGTCCCCGTCCCTCAGCATCATACTCGACCCATATCTTCTCCGGCAAATATGGATTATCAACCGGAACACCCGAAGAACTCGACATCGTCAACGTCACTTTCATCTTCGTCCCCCCTCCCATTTCCGCCGAAGATGTTGAAGTTGAAGAGGACTTGGGAGACGATAATTCCGCTTCTGTGAAATAAAATGCGGCGAAAGGGGCGTCGATCGTGAATTCGTCGAGGACGGAGAGAACGGCGTTTGCGAAATGTGCGGGGGTGCGTGCGACGACTGTTCGTTCGACGAGGGTGCGAAGACAATCTAGTCTGCGAGCCGCAATGACTTTCTGACTCGTATCTAGAACATGGTAAGAATTTCGCATCAGAATGAAGAGAAGAACCGTACCGAAATTCATATTCAAAAGCCCTCCAACCTCCCCATCCTCCTTCCGAACAGGCACCCAACTCCACGTATGATAAGTCTCCTGCCTCCTCCTCTCCACCCCCAAATTATTAAAAAACAGCAAATCATCACTCTTCGCCACCACCTCCCCCCTCATCGCCCTCTCCGCCTCAACTCCCAAACTATCCCAAAGCTCTCCCCAAGCTTCCGAACCCGCCTTCCCGAAAATCGAAGGATGTTTAGAAAGTGACATAGATGCGTATGCATCGTTGTACATTAGGATTAGGGAGGGACCCCACCATAGTGCTGAGGGGTAGGTAGATGCGAGGATGTAGGATGTTGTGGTTTTTAGGGATTGGGGCCAGGCGTTGTAGGGGGGTAGACCGACGAGAGGCCAGGGGTGGGTTTTGTAGAGGGTGTGGATTGAGCCGTAGTGTGGGGACGGGGAGGAGAGTGGGCGGGATATTGGAGGGGGGAGAGCGGGACGTGTTGATGATGATGAGGAGGAGGAGCGGGATGAGGTTGAGGCTGTTGATGGGGAGAGTGAAGGAGGTGGGAGAGGGCCGAGGTGGAGAGCGGGATTCTTGTAACTCCCCGACGAACTCGACGTGCCCACGGCCGTCGTCGTCGTCGGGGGTTTAGGAATTGGATCCAGAGGCGTACACACAAGAACGATGTACTCTTCCCTAACAAGACTCTTCCCCAGCACAAACTCAACGACCCATTCATCCCCTTCCCTCCCATAAGCATTCAGTTTAACTCTCAACGTCGCCGAATCCGAAGAAGATTGAAGCCACGTCCCAAAGTGTGCAACGGAAGAAGCAGAAGGGAAAGTCGAGAGAAACTTTGACGAGCCGGAATATCGTTCTTCAGCAGGTGTCGAGAGATTCTTCGGGTCATTCCCCGTCATTACAATTTCCTGTGTCGTATTCGCACCCGCACTAGCCAACGGCGAAGGATGCCACGTAATAAACCTCGTAAATGCTTTGTTGGCCCATACTGGTAAAAGGCTTATAGCAGCTGATCCAGGTGGTCGGAAAGTTGAGAATACGGCCGAGGGATGGCGAGAGGACGTCAGGTATTGAAGAAGGGAATGGGAAGCGAGGAACTCGGACGCCATTTTCGTCATCTTGTCCGAGTCCGTACTCAGGCTCGTCTGGCTTGAACAAGCTAAGAGATAAACTGAGATCTGCCAGTGGCCCAGTGGCGTCTCGTGTCGATCGTCGAGAGCGCTGAGCGCTGAGTTGAGGATGCGTGCTTGACTGATACGGCATGGAATTTGCCGGATTGATTTTCCTTCTTCGGTACGTCATTCTCTTGTAATCAGCCCATCACGCGAGCCATCATGCATCACCGCCATGGCCACGTCTCCTTCCTCCTCCCCCTTTTTTGAAACCAAGGTGACTTTGAAAGATTTGGTGAGGTCCGAGATATTCGATTGAAGGCCCTATGTGAAGTGCTCTGCTGAAGCGCTTCAGAACGTCGGGGTTCATCGTTTTTGTTCGTGCTTGGGTGGAACAGTCGACCATAAGCGCTCAAGCTCAAATCATGACAGTTCCGTCGTCTCACGTCTATCGAAGCTGGAAGAAAATTCTCGACAAGTGAGCTTTCGAAGTCTGTTGCAACTTCGACCTGGTCCAGCTTGTATCGGACCGGCAAGGCAACAACTCCGTGTTCCGTAACATAATCATAACAATGCATTCGCAACAGGTATTGGTCGTCGTTGCAGCCGAGAAAGTCGACCCCTCCCAATACTAGTATTACTAGACTCTCAATCATCAGCTCTCTCCATCAGCCGATCGTTGAAGTCCATGCATCCGGTCTCGTTCGAGGATGATGTTAAGCACGTCAGTAGCATTGAAATTTTCAGTAGGAAGAGTAAGAGCCAGAATAGAGAGAGTTGCAATCTTGCGAAGATCTGAAGCGATACACAGCGTTACAACAGCAGTCCTACAAGGTAGGAATCCCGGTAACATGTGGTGACTGAATGTCCTTCTATCAGGGATCGTGATCGACTATCAAAATAGTACTGTCATTGTCATTTTTATTCGAAGAGGGGATACTGTACTGAGCGGGTCCCTCGCAAGTTCGCACCGCTAAGCTGCGTAAGCAGAATTGCCTTTTCAGTTTGGTATCGTCGTGACAGGCCTGGGCTCGTTGTAACGCTTGAGTGACATGTGACGTCAAGGCAGCCCGCCTAGCTCAATCGGTAGAGCGTCAGACTCTTAAGAGTGCTTACGTCATCTCACGTGACTTGATTACGTCATCTGAAGGCTGTGGGTTCGACCCCCACGGTGGGCTATAGTTTCCTTTTTGTTTTTCTTTTTATGCTCTGGCAACGTTCTTGAGACCTGAAGAATGTCGTAAGTCCAACTTTTGGATTTTCTGGAATTTTTTCGAGGTTCCATGTACTTTTGCGAAGGGATTAGTAAGATTCACAAGACATGTCATAGATTCCGTTGCTCGGACTTGCTCCAAAAAGATCTAGTACGGCTACGGAATGATAGGTTGACGACTCGGATTGAGCGAGGCAGTCCGTATTCGATAGATCGCATCAATAGCACTGATACCATATGCATTAGTCACCAGTATGATAGTATCTGTCATTCGGTAGGAACGACTTGTGGTTTAGTCAATTGAACAGTTGCTTTCGCGAAGCATGCACACTGACAATCGTCCACCGCGAGGTTCGAACTCGCAGGCAAGCTCGCAGGGGATCCCTTCGAATATTCGGGGAAATTGTTCTGTCGGTCACAGCTCCCTTGCCACGGGATTCTCGTACGAAGTTGTGTAAATCGTAGGTTGACGCGATTGAAGAAATCGACCATTTCAGAGTAGACACGCCGTTGGAAACTTGGCACAATGATAACAGTTAGGGGCCTGTAAATTTGAACGGGTCGAGAATGTATGAGAACTAGATGTTAATAGGCTGTGGACGATATCGAATCATACAAAAAGCAAATAAAAGTGGGCGATTAGGGTTTGTATGGTCCGATGGAGAAAAATGCAAGAGCCAATTCAACCGAACTTCCACGAACAAATGTTCTGAAGACTGGAACATCAGACAAAAATGATCAAGATCAGTAGGATGTTAGGATGCCTCCGCCGCGACACAATTCCGCTTATGCGCTTTCCAATGCTGCCTAGGAAAAAATGAACATGGAACGGTACTCAAGAACATACACTCGACTCACTTCTGATGTTCAGCTCCGCAATACCAAATCTTTCGACATCTCGAACAAGCCTTCAATTCATGGGGCGTTCCGCAAGTCGCACAAAGTGCAATCCTAGCCTTATCCCTCCGATCAGACACAGTCTCTTGCATATAACTAGGCAAAGAAGTCTTTCCACTGACAGTCCTCTCATCAAAAGTCCTCGCAGTCGATTCTCCTTACTTCAAAGGTCTCTTCAATCCCATGCCATTGACAGTACTAGTACCAGCGAACATAGACATAGTATCGAAACTCCGCGTCATTTGTTGAATGAATGTCTTTCCTCCCTTTCGGACAGACGCTGGCGATGCTAGAGCTTCTGAGACCTCCTTTTGACATTCTTCAGACGGAGAAGTGGAAGAGATCGTATTTCCCGTTGAGGGCTTTGTTTCGATAGTTGTCGGCCCATTGCACCATCTCGACCGCTTCTTTCTTCGACTCGCCGGAGCCATGATAATATTCGTACATGATCCCAGCACACCGTCTGATACACATTTGGTTGAGTCGCATTGTCCGGTACGATAACGATGACCATCACGCACCCATTTCCTCGACTGTTCTCGGGTGGACACATGCCTCGACCTTCTAGTACCATAACCGCCCCATCGCTATCTTCCTCAGACAAGATCGCCTCAACCTACACACCCCAAAATAAACATCACTTCTCACAATCATCAAAAAAGAAATGAAGCACCTCAACCCGATGACCCAATTATCTCCAAAATCATACAACTATTCAAATGCCTCACCCTCACTCTGCAAAAGATGCGCAAGAATGTATTCATCGGCGTGTAGGAATTCATAGCCCACGCTGTCCTTGTGGGATATATCGACTGTCGAAGCGTCCTGTGCGTAGAGATATCAACTCGCGGTTATGCAGCATTGGCAGGAAGAAGGCGTACTCTCGGTCCAAAGCCTGCACCGTCACTGAGGTCCGTAAAAAGATACGCATGGGCATTACGGTCCCTATTGAACAAGCATAACTCAGACTACGAGGATCAAAATGACTAGAAGAAATCACATACCAGCCCATGATAGGTTGCAACACCTTGTCTTGAAAGGCTTCCAAGTTGATGCCACCGGATACTTTAAATCATCGATAAATCAGTTCAGGCCCAAGCGCTTCACGTCATCTATGTCTCTTAATATCATCCAAGGAACGCAATGTTTTGGGAATATCACTTGGAAAAAATTAGCAGGTACGGGGTTGCATTGAGAAATGTATGCACGGCATGTAGATCTTGAGAACAAAATCCCGACGACGAAGATCGTCAAGGTTCAAGGACGCGAAATCAGCCGCCTGTCGGTCAAAGCAGTATCAGATAACAGCGCTTGACGCGGTATTGGTGGCGTGGTGGGATGAACGATTTTTTTTTTTTGATAAGTGCGTTCATAAATTGATTCTCTGTTGGAGGCAAGTGCCATTCCAAGTACGGAAGTTGCACTTGCATCTGCATCGCCCACATCAACAATCGATCACGATCGATATGATACGAAACGGAATGGATCCAACCGTACCTTCCTGATCCCTTCAAATATTTGATTGGACACCTCATACCCATACTCAACGTACGGTCTAAGTCCCCAACACACACACTCTCCCCCAAATCATTCCCACACGGAACGAACTCATCAGAATCTTTCATCGTATCCTTTGGAACCGTAGAATCGAGGGTGGCATGATAAGTAGATATATATCGTACTTTCCAAAAAGACAGGATCCAACAAATCAGCCGGGTCATCTGGATGAAGACGGACGAATTTCGGCTTTGGTCGCGCTTTTGAAGATCTCGGAGGCATGATAGTATCAGTTATCTTGAATTTGAGTGAGATATGAGAGACTGGGATGAAGATTGGAATGGGGATGGATGTGGTGGCAGTTGCTACGAGAATAAATTTCGAGTGCGGAAACCAAGTGCGAGTCGGAAGCGCGGATGTAACGCGTTGTCACGGGGTCTAGACCTCAGGCTTTGTGTCACGGAACAGTCACGCTTGCGTGAGCGATTCGAGAGAAATCTGAAAGGAGCGAAACCTTTTGGTCGTCGGACTTCGAGCATCGCATGCGGAGGCTTTTAGATGAGCAGGGAAAGCGATGTCATAGAGAGAGAACATTAAAGTGCGAGGACCGAGAACGAATATAAGGATACTGGAGAAAGCGGAAGTGTGTGAACAGGAAAGAAAAATGCAAGAATGTACTAGGAGCGAAGGAAGAAATAGCAGAAGAAGATAGCACATGAGGATAACCAGAGCAAAAGAGTGTAGTTTGAAAGGTTGAAGCCAGAGAACTTGCAAAATCCGACTGCTTGCTCGAACAGATCAGTGACCCGTCACCGAGAGAAGACCTTTCCTTTCCTCTTGCGATCTTTGTTATCCCTCTTCTCGACCTTCTCCGAATACTGAGTCAACCGCATGACAGCTACCTCACTTCCGCTCATCCTCTTCACTCTGATCTGGCTTTCATTTGGTATAGCAAAGTCTTCTTCCGCCGGAAGAATACCACGAAGGCAAGTAGAATAAAGCCGTGTTGAACAAGCTGCGGTATCTCGAGGATCAACAGAATCGATCCAATCGTCCGCAATGTTTGCAAAGTCCGTAGACATATCAGGTAGATCGTCCAGAAGAGACGGAGGAGCTTGAGTGGATGTGGGAGATGCAAACAGCGGAAGGGAAGGAGAAGAAGGCAGACATGCGGGACGGGATATGGGCGTCACGGCAACCTTTCGGATGACAGTCGATATTGTAGCGCCCGTCGAGGTATCCGATGGAGTATATGCGTGCCCAAGACGAATTGGAGAAATCGGTGGAAGAGTAGAAGACTTATTCGACGAGGGGTACGATGCGGATTCGTTGTGCGATGCTTTGATGGTATGAGGTGCGGCATTCGAGCGCGAAGATGGTTTCTGTGTCACTGTAATGGGAGACGAGATGGTCGTTGATATCGCAGAGATCGGCGCCGTTCCATTGGAGGAGACCGATCTCGAAATAGCAGGAAATGGTCCATCGAGAAACTTGAGCCCCTGGAAAAGCTCCTTCTCCAGTTCGTCTTCAACTATATTTGAGGAATTCGACCGTGACAGCCCTTGCAGGGCGAGCGGATCGAAAGCCTTCGCCCAAAGTGGTAGAGAATGAGCCCTGGGGACCAAGGATGACGAATCGCTGGATGCATCGTTCGCTTCGAGTTGGGTATTGGAGCCGTCAACGAGTTGGACGATGACAGGCTTCGGGGGTGTGGTACATGGCGTAGGTGGTAGTGGGTAGGGTGGAGGCGATCCCGGACTATTCTGTAAGGATCGTCTTAGAAATGTTATCGAATACACGTGTTCATCATACCTTATGAGACACAGCCCGCCTCTGAATGCTGGCGCTGCATGACTCCTGCTCTGCGACATCGTCGACGCACTCGACGCGCTTAGGAGAGGCGGTCATGGACGTCTCGGGCGCGATGCGGTCATGGATTGATCCCTGTAGTAAACAAAGAGGTCATTTTTACCTCGCGCCATATAAGTCGTCACTCGAACCTTATAAGCAGGAGTATCAGATCGTCCATCTATGAGGCCATCAATCCAGAGAGCGTCCATGAGTGTGTCGTGCGCGTTGGAGGGCCTCAGCAAAGGTTAGCTGTTGGTCGGAGGCCACCAGGTAGTGATGGGAATGAGGAAGAAGAGGTTGAGTGGGCTTTGAAAAAGCAGCATTGTACCAGTGTCGAGAATCGAACACCCCCTTGGAATCGAACTGCGAGATGACAGGCACGAAGGCAAGAGCAAAGACCTGGATCGGACATATCGGCCTTCAGCTCGTTGCCTCAGAAAATTGAAAAATATTCACAGATTTGAATTCGCCCAACGTGAACGACTCCACTTGATGGGCCGTTACAGAAGAAATACGATGAGAAGTCTATATGAAAAAGAACATCGATGCCCTTCGACATGAAGACGACATATAGTACAGTGATATTATCTAATTATTGCTGATCTACCTAAACCCATTATGATCCATCAATAGGAACTCTACCCATTATGCTCAATCTCCATGCAGAGAGTACGACAAGGTGTCCAATATCACTCAATGGGAATCTCCCCGCTTTCCATT